CCAGAAGTTTCTGAAGAGTAAAATGTAAAAGAGTCTTATCAAAGTAGAGGAAATGGTAAATTGCTCTTAATGTGGTTTTAATGAAAGGAAGGATGTTTCAGACAGTGGGATCTAAATTTTTCCATCAGTGGTGCTTGCACAGACCTTTCTGACTTGTGGTTCATACAGCTAATCCCCATTGTTTATTGATAATAGGTTAAAACAAGCATTTTGCAGTAGCAGGCATATATATAAAAATGTAATGCGTACTGTAAAGATAATCCTAATCAACCAACCAATGCTCTGTGCTTTCTTTTAGGAATGAGTCAATGGTTTGGATTAGTGTTTTCCAATTTTTAATGAAGACCTAAGGGTATGAGAATAGCCTAGATTTGGATATTCACACTTAGTAATTTCATTATCAAATTTCAGTTTTCCTGCTATAAATATCAAATGCAGAAATAAGAAAGCTAGTGGAATCTGCCTTTTCTTACCCAAACTACTGCTCACTGAAACCATCGTACCCACCTGTGCGAGGAGATGCACTTTGCAACTTTTTACTGAGAGTCTCTTTAACAAACTCTATCATGATGTTGTCCCTTTTAAGTTAGTTCTTTGTATGATGTCTGTGTGTGCACAGTTGTCAAAATGTGAGGATTTTTATTTTTTATTTCCCAGAGACAGTTTAGTTAATCAGTCAGGAGCCGTAATAATCTTCCTACACAACCATGTGTAGGCTGGCAAAATTGTTGTTCATTTCACCTAGACATCTCAAAACCAAGAGCTTTCAAGGTGTTCTTGAGCTTCTTAATGCGTTCAGCACCAAATACCTATGGCTTGGTAGACTTCTGCATTTTGCTAGTGTGCTCTTAGGTTAAGATAGTATGGTGTGTACGCAGTCATGAGTGTATATGGACTCTGTGTGTTCAGGACAGGAGTTAAAAGAGCAAAGATGCATGTAACAACTCTATAGAAAGAATATCTCAAAATTGCTTTTGGGGGTGAGTTTGTGGACAGAGATTAAATTTAGAATTCTCTTCTGGATTTTCTTTAAAATTTCTGCAGAGTTTGGTGATTCTTTCTTTATTACTGCCTAATTCTTCTGCATCTTTTGGTATCTTCCTGAGGACATGGCAGCCTGCTCTTACCTCTAACATATCTGAGGAGAAGTGAGGTAATGGATATGAGCTAGCTTCTCCATGCTTATGAGAAAGATGTTTCATCCCCTTTCCCACCTCCCTGCCAATAGCTCTCCTTTATCACACACATCAGCTGAGGGTGGAGCAGAGCTGTTGAAGGCTTATGTTATGTGAAGTTCTCAGCTTTCCTTTTCTTTCTCAGTCCTTCATGTCTTGGTTCCTGTGAAGAAAAATGGCAGTGGGAATAATGAGACAAGTTTCCAGCTTGCTTTGCAGCTGGAAGAAGACAGCATAGGTTTTTGTCCAAGGACAGCAAGCAGCTCTTATGATCAAACTGGATCTCTTGACAAAGAGATGCCCCATTCTCTGAATTTTCCATAGCGAATAACTCTTGTGGGGAATTCTTAAAGCCTTAAAACAACTTTTCTTTCTACAGGACATTTCCTAAAAAGAGAGAAGAAATCTTTAAAAAGGACAGATTCTTAGCAGAGAACTATTTTGGTTTTTGTAATTTACTTCTACATGTACATGGGCAGGATGGTAAGAGTCCAAACAGTCTTACGCTTCTTCTGCTATGGCTTATCATTTGCTTTATAAAAAGGTCTTTTAAACAGATCCAAAATTCCTCTCTAAAGAAGAATTCTTTAACACAGGTAGATGCCTCTCTCCCACCTTTATCTTCTGCTTGAGAAGAGAGAAACAGCTCGGGGTGCCTTTCTAGCAACTTTAGTGAAATAACCAAGGGAATGTTCAGATTTTTAGTCAGGATATTGAAGAATTTGAATATGGTCAAGACAGTTAATAGGTTTCCTGGCAAAGTCCAGGAAAAAACAAGTAGCTGAATTCAAGTGATTTTTTTTTTCAGCATGTTGTCATTTCATTCCCTACCGCACTTGAATAGAGGACATTTAGTAAGAGCACGTATGAGGGTCTATAGACATTTCAGTGGGGAAGGATTATTCCTTATAATCCTGCCTCAGCAGAAGGAAGTATCAGAATAATTTATATTCTCTGATCTGCAAAGTTTTGGCTATTCTGGAAAAACTTACAATTCTTCTAGCCTTCTAACAGGAGAGAAATGTATTCACACATTTCAGAACACAGAGGAGTATGTAATTTTGCTCTTTTTTTTTTTTCCTTCCAAAATTTGTGGGAATGATGTTCTTCCTTTTAATGTATTCTAGTCTATATACCATTGCAATGAAGGACAATACATGTAATTCAAGACAGAGAAGGGGACGTTTGGCCTGAGGAGGACAAAACTCTTCCTTTCATAGGATTCCACTTCCCCAGGAAGCTGAAGGTGTCTGTAATATCTACATGCAGTGAAGAAACTGAAAAATTTGTGCCTTGCCAGCCCACCCAGAAAACTACACATTAACATCTTGCTTCTTGCTTGGAATGATGATATATAGCTGAGTTGTCTTGACAAGCTTTTGAGCTTGCAGCTCTAGGCAGTGAGAACGTCTCAGCCTAGTGTTGCAATCATCCATCCGTCCCTAATTCTGCATCTTATGCAGTCAAATAAAGCATGGTATCGCTGGAACGATGCCCTGAAGAGGAGACCTGCCACAGTGTGTATCTTGATCATTCCTGGTGCGAGCCATTGGTCTGTGAAACAGCATAGATCTCTCTCAGTGAGACTGGGCAGAGGTATCCACTAGGCACCTGAACCATTTATCACAGCTTGAATTAGCACAAGCAAATGATAAAATAAAAAATGCAAAGATAGCTGTCAGCCTAAGACTATTTAAATGGAATAAATTTGTAATTGTGGTTTAGTCTTCAAAGCTTTCCTGCTACCCCTGTAAGTTCAAAGGGTTAGGAATTAAATCAATATAGTGATCAGCTTCAAACCCACAGTACTATGGAAATTTCTGAAAGTAGAGTAAAATTTGTGTTGAGTTTGCCCACAGCTTAAATCTCTTGCTATGGTAGATTTTAATCTTCATTTCTCTGCAGTATGATGTGAAGAACCATCGCACCTTTCTGAAGCGCACCAAGTATGAGAACTTACACCTTGAGGATTTATTTGTGGGCAACAAAATTACTGTTTTTTCCCGTCATCTATCCTTAGTGGACTATGGCGATCAATATACAGCCCGCAAGCTGGGGAGCCGCAAAGAGAGGTAAGAAAGCATGTTTTTTGAAATCTTTCTTTGTTGTTGGGGTTTCAAAGAAATTGTTCTTTGCTGGAAATGAGTTAAGTTTTCTGTACTATGGGGAGAGGAGGAGATAGCTACAAGTTTGCATGCAGTTTGAAGTGATCTGGCATACTGATAGCTGGAGAGAAGCAAAGTGGCCCCTGCTTGTGGGCAAACCCATGACTGCCATTGTTACCTGATAAATCTTCAAGGCCAGCTCGTCCATGGTGTCAACTGCTGCCTCCTGTAGGTCTCTTGGGAGAGAAGAGGGGGAGGAGAAAAACAGGGGGTCCTGTTCAGCTTTGTTACTCCCCCGGGCAGGCAGCAGTAGGATTCTTGTGGTTTGTGGATTCTCTTGGGGCAGAATTGATATGGTAACCCTGATGTGTGCTGGGCTCGAAAGGCCTGGATCTTGCGAAACTAGCACCTGTCTCTCTGGGATCTGTGCAGAAGCCTAGTGCCTTACCAATCAAATCTACTCTGTGTTAGTAGTAGTAACTGAAAACAGGAGGAACAGGAGTGAGAGAGGCCCATTCCCATTCTCCATTGTTTTTCCCACTATGGAGGATTTTTTCTGAGAATTTTTTCAGCATCTCCTAAATTCTCTGCATCAGGACAGGAAGTGTAGAGTGAGAATGTCAATAAAGCTTATAGGCTTGTTTGTTAAGACAGATTTTGTTTATAATGGATGAAGATAAGTCTCATCATCTCTTTTTGGTTGAAAGACATGCTTTGGAAGACTTTAAGAGCCGTCCAAGAACAAAAAAATATCAGGAGAGACTTAATAAAATGACAATAAGATTAGTTTACAAGGAATTTAAATCTGGTTTGACTGCAGTGCAGGTAATACCTGAATTTGCAAATTAATGAATTTTGATAATTTGCTTCAGCTTTTTTTGAACAGAACAGAGAATATTTTCTTAGGTATGATGTTCCAGTGAGCCCTATTCGCCTATTTTCTTGCTCCCTCCCCCTAACTGGGCTTATTTTGAACTCTTTTTGGAGAGTTGTACATAACCAGACATACAGAAAGAGTTGCAAGTTTTAACACACATCTTTGTCTTAGCCTCACAAAAACATTGGCGTGGAAATGACTGCCATAATATCTTTCCATGAGGAGTTCTGGTAATTTTTGTCCAAGCTGGGGTTGGGCATGGTGGAAGAATAGCAAAGGAGGTGGAGAATACAGGAGGACGGCTTCTGTATACGTGGCTACTCTATCTATTCCTCAGTGGAGCCTTGGGTAGATTACATCTGTCTTGTTTATGGTTTTTATATCAATGTAACTTTTGATTTCCTGCTCTGCCTAAACTAGCATAAGCCCTGGTGCTGATGCAGTTATACCAAGAAAAGGCATAAATGTTATAAAATGACATTTTCTTCTTGTAAGGGAAGTTGCCATCTATACAGCAACACTGTAGTTGTGTCAGTGAAGTGGTCCTGGGAGGGGGTGAATTTTTGTACTGCTCTACAAAAGGAAGGAAGGGAATTTATGACATGTCAGCTGTTTGGAAAACGTTTTAGGAATGTTGACTGAAAGATAACATAGATATGCAAGTGTTGTTACATATTCAGAGTAGCCCAAAGGAACATAGTGAAAAGTGTCTTAAACAGGCAAGGGATCCTCAAAATCCAGTTTCTTCACAGAAGCTTTCACTGGGTAAACAGGGTCATATTAAAAGAGTCCTTGGGCAAAATAGTTGCATATGAGGTATTTGTCTTTTTGGCTTGTTCCTAGCAGGTTTTACAACAGTTATTAGTTAAATAGATTTAGTAAGATTTCTGCAATACGTGATAATTCCTAAAATAATCTGTAGTTGGAATTCTATTAATAATTTTAAGGATGTTGTATGAGGCAGAATGTTTCCCCATCTTTTTCTTGCCTTTGTTCTGTACAGAACTATCAGCAGTTTAGTTTGACTTTGGAAATAAGTTCTTTGGTCACTGAATATGTATGCAGACAGGCTGAGCAAAGGTCTTTGAGGGAGACTGAGGAATGTATATAAAAAATCTTAAATGTTTTGAATTAGAGACCTTTGTTTTTGTCCGTAAAGCAAGTGAATGTGACTCTAGGTACATGAGGTACAAAATAGGTGTGTAAAAAGAGGCTAGATTTGCACAGGCCCTTTCTAGAATTAGGCTAAAATTATTAAAACAGTTCTATGGATTTTCAATTTCTACACCTACTTTTCTTAAGTCTTGGGTCAATTTTTAAGTATAGCCATATTTGAGTGTTCTTCTTCCCTGCTCCCCTTCCACTGTATCATAAGGAAACCGTCACAAACAGTGACTAAAGTGGGTGAGTAAGCATGTGGTTACTTACAGTGTACCACATAAGGAATCATGGCGTGGAACAGGGATTTCTGCTTCTGTAGTTTTTCACTTGTGATCCTTGGTGGTTGTAACCTGAGGTAAACATTTGTTTGACTAGTGTGTCCTGTCTAAGTAGACTATACTTAGAGTCAGTTAATATCACTGGTTTTGAAAATGGTGTTAGAAAGCTTGTGTCTCAACCAGAAATACTTGAATTCTTTTTTGATTGGGATATGTTATTCCTACACTTCTAGTCATTGCCATAATCAGTGTTTCTTCCCCTACAAGACGTAAGCTACTGTACATGCAGCAGTCCTATTATTAGAAATAAGCAGGTCTCAAAAGCATAGCCACAGCATGCTTTGTGCACCATTCCTTTGATCAGTTCCCATCTTCTGTTGTTTCAGTACTCACTGCAGTACTGTCGTACAGTCCCTCTGAAAATGTAAGTAAATGAGCTTAATTTTCATTCTTTCTCCTTTGTTCCTAGACATAAAACTGTTTCAAACTGTACTTTGCAGGCTGCATCATGTCAAACCACAGAAACATATTCCTAATTAAAACTAAAAATAGGGCACATGAATCAAAATCCAATCTCAGAAACAGTCTTCAGCATCCTGAATTATACTTTTCTTATCCTGCATACCTCTGAGAAGCTCACACTGAAATGTTAAAGTTTATATATCAGTGTTAGAGAAAAGATGTTATGAGAGTTGCTCATTGCAGTTTGTATTAATGTCTTCTAGGTAAATTGCTTCATAATGCAATATTTCATCACATATTGGTAGGAATTACAGTTTTACTAGAAAGCTTGAAATTAGAAAAGTAAGGGACAATGTATTTCTAACATTAGCAGTGTGTCTCAAATAGCCTGTGTAATAACATAGATTCAAAAAACTATTCCTCAAGGAAATGCAAACAGCACTGGCGATCTCATTGCAGTGGTTTGACCCTTACTGTTCATGGTAAATGACAGAGTTGAGAACCTCTTATGCCAGGATGCAGGTCATACATTGTGTGACCGGGTGGGTACGTGTCATCGGTCAAGCATGCAGTTGCTCCCCTTCATGTGCCTTGATGCACACCCTGTCATATGATAAATAATACCACAAAATGAGGTGGAGCTCAGGCTACAGGCCATAAATTGCGTGGAGTATGCTGGCAAACTGTGTTGAATGTTGGCCAGAGGTCAGCCTTTCCTGATCTGAAGATAGGGCTAAACCCTATTTAGTCTGCACTGCAATGGACTGAAGCATAGGCTTGGTTGACCACTCTCATGCAGTTTCTGTCTACACCCTTAGTCCATCGGTCTTTTTGTGTCATATTTCCCAACAGATCTGGGCCTAAGCTGGTCCGTGTATATGAGCTTCCTGATGCTTGAGGAAATCTGTTTGTTTCTGAGCTCTGAAGGTCATCTATGTCTCTCCCTTAGTTTCAGATGAAATGTCACGTATGTTCAAATCTTCCTCTTTACATTTCCTGGTCCTAACACCTCTCTTCCTTTAGATTTGCTGTGAAATAGATAGTCTGTCTGTTCCCAAAGCATCTGTCAGTTTGAGGTCACTTAAAGTTCAAAGTAAATGTAGTGGAAGTACATCCATCTCCTGTAACCTCAGCATAATTGCCCTGGCTAGAATGTATTGCTGCCAACCTGAAGGCTGCTTTCCATGCTATGCTGGTATATAAAATGAGAAATTTGCAATTATTTGCCTTTGATTTAGGGAAGTACTGCAATAAAAAATTCTATGGAAAGAGCTCTTTAGGATTGTCAGAGACGTGGAGTTTCTGAGATACAGGGTTGAATAAATCTGTTGATTTGTAAGCTGAGCACATTTGAAGCTGACTCACCACAAGATGAATGCAAATAGAAAATGCCATTTTACAGACCTTCTTTTTGTGCTTGTTATTTTTGATTAATAATATGTTTAGTGCTGAGGGTGTACTTGGTGCTATGCAAAAAGCACTAATAAAACAGTCCTGGCCTTGGGGATGTACAGTATAAAAAGATAATTATCAAGAAGACAAGGATGTACTTGGGAACAAAGATGTGGGGGAGAGTGTAAAGATTTTTGGATTGGTCTCTCTTAGAATATAGCTGTCAGTCAGTATAAGAGACGTAATTCCTCCTCTGCCAACCTTTTATTGTGGCTATTAACAGTGTTAGCTATTTGGCATGCAAACTGTATACCATGAAGTGTTTGTACTGTACCAAGCACAATAGGACCTTCTTCTCACTGAGGCCCCAAATATTTTAAAAGTAATAATAAAACAATCATTTCACTTCGAGTTTTATGGAAGAGGCACATGTTTAAGTAGTATTTTTAAATAGGGAATTTTGACAGCTTCATTTTTATGTATATAATGATTAACATTAGGAAAAAAGGCAGCTGAGCAAGTGTAGGGAGACATTAACAAATCAGTTGTGTTCTAACCCAGAGCCGTGAGTGAGGAGCTATAGAGATATAAACTAGCTAAGGAAGAAGTGGTCAAATTGTTTGCTCTGAGAGTGGAGGGAGAAGCCAGTAAATAATGACTGCTGGTGGAACACTGTGGGCTGACTTGGGTTAGAAAGCCAAGGAAATTCTAATGTGCAAAGCTCGTTCTTATCAGAATAGTGCCTTGCGCAGGCAGTCAAGAACAGCGTGGAAATTGATGAGACACTGGGACTAGAATGTTTGACTGTGGCAGAATTTCTCTTTGATGTGATGTTTTTTTGCCTGAATATAAACTCAACATGCACACCAAATGCTTTAAGGAAAGTAGTGTTGGCTGTATCTCTCTACTTTGTTTTTTCCCCCCCAGAACGCTGGCTTTGATTAAACCTGATGCAATGCCCAAGGTTGGAGAATTAATTGATATAATTATTAATGCAGGATTTACAATAACTAAGGCCAGAATGATGGTGCTTTCAAGGTAAGGAATTTTTGAGGTTAGCTCTATCGTATCTAAATACTATTTTTGCAGTTAAGGATGTTCTCTGAAGCTATCCTGTGTTGTTCCACACATCAAATCCATTCCAGTGAGTAATAGAGGGAAGACTCATCAGTTTCATAATCATGTAAGTTTCTGAAAGCATGTAGAGAATTAAGCTAAGTATTAAAAAGTTCTGTGCAAATGAGTATAGGTGATTAAATATGTAATGTCCCTGTATGAATCCAAGGTGACTACCATAGCTTTAGCAATTCAGCAGTTTACTTCTGACATGTCTGTATGTCCTCACCTCATGGCTTCCTGATACAAACCATATTGCTGATTAACAGTGTTGTCTTTAAAGTAGTTGGTTTGTTCGCTCTCAGTAAATCCATTGTCTTAATTTGTGCTCTCAGAACTCAAACTTGTTCACTTTTTCATGACTGGAAGTCCCAGGCAAAGCAAGTGATCTTCTGATGTTGTTGCAGGGTTGGACAGATTTTACTCATGCATCTTCCTAATCCTCCCCAACCTTCACTGTTCTCCACTTACCTCATTGAGCCACAAGATTTAAAAAAAGGCATGCTGCAGAGGAAAGAAAACATAATTAATTTACCCTGGAAGACTTCCCCAAAGTTACTGCACTATTTCTCCATTGCTGCTTTGCCGAACCTGTTTATACACAACGTGTCTTTGAAAAGAAAAGCTAGGTGTCTTACATAATACCATTTTCATGTGTTCTTATGGTTTCTGTTTGAGGTCAGGAACAATTTCCCCCTACTTCAAAACCTTTCTGGCTTTCTGAAATACTGATAAAACAACTATGTGACTTCCTCCTCTTGTCTCTGCATTCACCTGCTGCAAGGTTTGATGATACTGGTCCCAGATCCTCCCTCAAACAACTCCAGTTCATGAGTTCAATCAGGTTTCTAATGCTGATTCACAATTCACAATGCCTTTCAAGCCAGCTTTTTTTGGCTTGCTGTCCTGCAGTCTGAGAGATTTGATCCTGGAGTGTTGTGTTGGGTGGTTCTTTATTTCGGTGTCTGTCTGAGGACTTAAAGCACTCATGTGCTTTAGAGTTGACTCACACTGAAGGGAAGAAACTTTGAGACTTGATCTTTTATTGCGTATTGCTATATAAAAATTTCTGCTTGTCTTGTATAATTAAAAATAATTATTAATAAGCACAAGATTGGGCTGTGATACTGGATATATTTAAAATAATGTTTTGAGTATTTGTGGTTTCTTTGCATACTATGTACTCTATTTTTTGGGACTGTGCCATTTTAAAATGATAGAACTATGGCTTTGCCAAAGTCTTCTATGCTTAGATCTCTGCAGGCATGCTTGTTCAAACCAGCATCATCATCTACTGCTTTCTTTAAAAGGATTATTACTGACATTTGTCTGGCAATCACTGTTAAGTAGATTCATGCCTTCTGTAAAAATTGTAGCCAAGATATGAAAGTGAGGGCAGGCACCTGCTTTGATAGGTCAGCTCTCTAGTCTCTTCATTTAATCATATGTCAGTTCAGTCTATTATTCCCAGATGAACACTGTTTTCCATTCTTTAAAAGCAAAGAACTAATGAGAGAGATGAAATGAGAAAGGAAGTAAGTTATACATCACAACTACAGTTTTGTATTTATTGCAATAGGAATTCTAAACTGAGTAGTAGAGCTCAATTTGTTTCAGAAATATATCCCTCAAATATTTCTTTGTGTTCAGAAATTATAATACTTAATCTGTTTGCATATCTTTTTCATATTTGCTTTCCAAAATTATTTGGTGAATTAGTTTCAGAAGAGGATTTTCTGGTGAAATAGTGAATTGTAAGCAAAAACTTCAGGCTATTTGCAGAGTGTAGGTTTGAAGCTTGAGATCACAAGAGTTCCTGTGACTAGCATAATTTTTAAATCATGTTACTGCCTTAGTTATGAAATGGAAGGAAAGCATATTAGCTGTATGGTCAATGAAAATCTTTTGAATTTTGAATGGCTCATACTTACACTGAACTGAAAGCAACAAACCAGGAATTATTCAGTTCCAATGAGCAGGTGGTCATTTTGATAAAAAAAGCTGGAGAAAGCTGTGACTGTTCAAATATTTGTCAAGGTTAGGAAAATTAAATTCTTCTTAGGTTCTTCTTGAGGTTATTTCTTTCCTCTGGCAATATTGGGCTTAAGTCTGGACTGCAAATGGGAGAGACATGTGAAAAGTTCCATTGCAGATGACAGAACCATGCCTTTGTTCATACTTGGAATCTGTTATTTGAAAAACATGCAGGTAATTTCTTTCAGTAAAGAGAGTTGCTCAAAGTGAGCAAAATCATGGAGACCAGAAAAAATCAGAAGATAGTTTGTGATTTTCGGGGGTGGGGGGGGTGTTATATATATATGTGTGTGTGTATATATACCTATATCTATACATCTATATTTATATCTTTTTATTCTTCCAGAAAAGAAGCAGCTGATTTCTACATAGACCATCAATCAAAACCTTTTTATAAGTAGGTATATCATTTTCAGCTTGACATGTATTAAGCTTATTTATTGAATGCACAGGATTCATTTACCATATTTGGTACTGTAGGACCATGGGAAAATCAGAACTTGTCTTAGTTGAGTGGAGCCCTTTGTGAAGTATGCACCCTGTTCATCTTCCTCCAGGGAGAGATCCTTATTTCAGCTATTCAAGGTTTTAACTGACACTCTTTACAGCCTGATGATATCAGGGGAATGTCTTTGGTCTCTCAGAAGTGAAAATGCTCCTAGCAAAGCGAAACTTCAAAGCCAAGGGAAGGAGCATCTTCAGGATCAGGGTGGAGCTTGCAGGTAATGCGAATTAGGGGGGAACACTCAGCTGTAAGAATTGATTTGGTAGCAAGTACCCCAAATCATAAGTAAAGGAAAGGATAGTGCATAGGCAGTTGTTTACTGTACTGCTACCCTTGGACAACACATCAAACTTCTACAATGCTAGACTGCTCCACCTAACATAAAAAACCTTAGTCTTTCTATAACTGACCAGACTGATGCTTATGACCCAGAGATTGTGGCGTTTCTACTTTGCCTGAAAGTGCCAACAAACAACTTTCTTTTCCTCCCTCTGGATTTGGTGGTCCTCCTCTTTTAGGAAGAGGGTGCAGCTCTGCCTTGTTTTTCAGCCATGTTGGAATCTGGGTTTGCACTGACTTGGTCAAAAGACCTGGTTTCAGTACTGTCACGAAGTGCTTGAGTATTAGACTGCCAGCTGCTCTCCTGCAACAGCAACTGATTTATTGTGGGTCCAAACTCAAGCCCTTCACGGAGACATGGCCCCGCGCTATGTCTGACCATGTTGGAGATCAGAGGAAGATTTAGAATTGCCTTTTCTTTGCTGAGTGGGCCTGCTTGAATATGTTGATAAATAAGCAAGAACTTGCCCGTAGCGTTATTTCACAGATGTCTATCTACACTAATGGTAATTATCTGAGGAGCTGTAGCCTTTGTTCACTGTGATGTGCCTGTCTCCTATCCTACAGTCCTATTGGCTATGTCTTCTGTATAGGATTTTTCTCTAAATTAGAAACAAATAGTTATAAAGCATTACAAGTCAAATAGAACAAAAATCTTCAAGGCAGTGAAATGTAAAATCTCTGACTCATTTATATTTAGCATTGTATTACTTGTCTTTAAATTCAGATTTAGTTTGCAAGTTCACTAGTCAATGTAAGTCTAGTGAATAGTAGGGAAAATAGCAATTCTCCTTGTTTGGAAAAGAATATTTTTCATATTAAAGAATTTAATTTTTTTATTTAATAGTCAGGATTAGTCTGCACAGAAAGCAGTGTTGTAGAAATTGCTTTTTTCTTGGTTTACGTATGTGTAAGCCATTTAACTGTATCTTAAACAAGCAGTCTCTGACCAACAGAACCTGAGTTCCAAAAGCTTTTCCCTGTGTAGTTTCTTTATGTTTATGTAACTTTTCATAGTTTTAATATTGTTCCTTTAGCAAAGAACTAGTAGGATTTCTCTTCTCTTCTTGCCCACTGATTATTGCATAAATGATCATTAGAAAGAAGATGGAGAAGCATACACATCCACAATTATAATTGTGTAAAGCTCTTTTTTTAAGAAAGTAGTACAAAAAGCATTGAGTCAACTTTCTCCTTTGTTGGTTCTGTCCAGACTACACAGTGAAAAAGCAATCTTGTTGGTATGCATGTTTTGTAAGGATACAGAATTATAGCTATGGTGTTCTGTTTAGTTTTTAGGTAGAACGTTTGGGTTTCCAATTTTGGATGGTTGTTTTCCAGGTAAGTGAGGTGGTGAGGACAGGAGGCAGGCTGCTCCTGACAGTCTCTTCTCCTTACTCAGATTCAACCCATTAAAATCAGTTGACTTCTGCTTATGCAGGGATGTCATAACTCACTTTGTGGTTAAGTCCCCTCTCCCCAGAAAACTTTCCAAATCTTGCTTCTCCCTTCTCTCACACTTTGGATTTTCGCTGGGCAAAATCCATGGGAGAGGTCCACAGGGCAGTGGAACAATCCATCCTGACAGCAGTGCTGAAGTTGTGTCAGTGGGGAATGCACACGGGTCATGTATGAGAATCCTGAAATCCTGCTGTGCAGAAGAGACATGCTTAGGAATTGTTTCTGTCAGACAAATGGTTAGCGGGGTTTCTTTCACTGTTGCCAGTACTGATTTTTTAAAAAATCTTTTGAAATCTAACATACTACAAAGTAGCTTGAGTGAGTTTGTATTATCTGGTTCTTTTTCTACAACCGTAATAAGAAGGGAATGTCTGCACGTGACCTAGTCCAATCTCCTCCTCAAAGCAAAGCCAACTTCAAAGTTAGATCAGGTTGCTCAAGGCCTTGCCAAGTTGAGTTCTGAGCATCTCCACTGGATCATATGTTTTTGTTGGTTTTAATTTGTAGCGTGGATCACCATGTGCTGTTTCCGTTTTGCAGTGAGCTTCTCCAGTTTATAACGAGTGGTCCCATTGTTGCTATGGAAATCTTAGGAGATGATGCAGTTTGTAAATGGAAAACATTACTGGGGCCAGCAAACTCTGCAGTGGCTCAGACTGATGCACCAGACAGCATTAGAGCAAACTTTGGACATGATGGCCTAAGAAATGCAGCTCACGGCCCAGATTCGGTTGCTTCAGCTGCTCAAGTAAGTTTTTGACTGTTGACTGAAGTTTATCTTTATCTGGTAACAGCTGGGTCAAGAATTCCTCTTTTTTTTCCCCACTTGAGTTCAGAACTAGTTTAGATATTCTTCATGGATCCTTTTTAGCATAGAAAAATAAACTGTCTGAAAACAGAAATCTTGCTTATCTCTGTCACAAAGGGGAACCTTGGGCGCTTTGATCAGGAGAGCATGCCTGGTCATTTTTAATGTCTCCTGTACATCACAAACACTGAGTTAATTGCATAGTCTGTGTAATCTACCTATAGTCTACCAATGTTGGTCATAAAAAGAAAGGGATTAAACAATTAAATCCTTTTGTGCCCTCCTGTGTTTCGCTTATCTGTTCTCCTCCACAGTCCTCACTAGTCCTCTGCCTGCAGCCTACTTTCCTCTGCTGTTATTGTTCAGAATGAACAATTATGAAAACAGGCCCCTTTGTAGTGCTTTGTGTTTTGAGAGGTAATACAGTGGGCTTGGCTTTGAGGAGTTTGGTTCTCTTTTGCTTTGCTTGCGGTGTGTCTTTCCTTAGTCCTAAGAAAAAGCCCTGGGACTGAGTGATAGGTCTTACCAGCATTTCTACAGAATTAAGGTAGCTATTTGTGTGCGTTGTTGTGGGGTAGATATGCTGATAAATGATGGCAAGAATAAAGTTTACCTCATGATTGATTGGTATTGTGCTTAGCTCTAGACCACCGGGGAAGAGATACCAGTTGTTGCTTCCTTGATCCTAGTCTTTCCTCTATTTAAATTGGAACAGCTGCAATAGTACAGCTGGAGAGAGACCTGCCCCGGAACACCTAATAAGCTGCCAAGTACTGTAGACAAGAAAATATACTTAGAGATTATATCCTGGTGGTGAGGGCAGAGTTGGTCAGCCTCTTCTTCTGGCTGGCTGTTAGGCTGCGTGGCATAGCAAGCTAATTGCAAAGCGTGGGCGGTTTTCTGCTGGTCAAGCACTCATCTCGCGTATCTGCACTGTCCCTGGGCTGCTGGATCCTCTCTGTGTGCCTCTGGTTTTGACAAGAAATCATACGCTGGACCCGAAGTACTTTTTCTGCTGGCAGACTTGGTGAAGATGGTACAGAGTCAGAAAGAGTTTGGATGAAATTGATCTTTTCTGATGAAGGAGAATTAGAGTCAGAAAAGTCTTTATAATTCTGGTTAAATAGCTAGATGTCCTCATTTATGAGGGTGAAAGTTTCTCTTTGTTCCTGTGTACTGCCATGATAACTGTGCCAGCTTTTGAACTGAGAGTGTAGGAAGGAGTATCTATTAGCATAAAATTTTGATTAGAAGCATCAGTATGTGCTTTGGCTTAAGTTTGTTGTTCTTTTTGCATTTCATTATTTTTGAAATGCTGTTTCAAGGCCTCCATTCATCTGCAGCATTTTTATGACTGTGGGATTATTTTGCTGAACTTTTGCAGGTGTGTGCATCTTCGTGGAGTTACTGGTACCAATCTTCAATAAATCAACCAAAATTGTGAATTTAATACCCCTGTGCCTATTCTAATTTAGTAGGCCCAGTATTATATGGCTGTACAGCAGTTGCCATGGAAACTAGTTGGCTGTGCCTTGCAGAAGCTTTGCTGAAAAGAAAGAAATATAAGATGAAGGAACCTAAACGAACTCTTCTGAAGGAAAACTGAAGTCTCAACCACATTTAATGAATGTATTGTAAACTGAACAGTTAGAGTGGAAGACTGCATTGTTCTTTTGGGGGCTAAATGACAAGTGAAAGTATGCCTCTGGTATACTCTAAGCTGGTGTGTCTCTGCAGGCCAAATTTTGGAGTTTCTTTAGATCAGGAATAAAGGGAAAGGAAAAGAATTTTCTATTTAAGGCTCCACTTGGTTATAGTTTAGCATTTCATTACCCTAGTCCTTCAGCATTATTTAGTTACTTTTCCTTTTATGACTTTTAATGGATAAAACAAAGTGTTAAATATTGTAAATATTTTGCTGCCTTTTCCTGGCTGCTTCTTTTAGAGTAAACATTAGTTAACAGAGTGGGACAAGGTCTTTGAAGCATGCAGCATTTTATCAGGAAAAGGATGTAGGAAATGAACCCTTTTGTCTCAGATATGCCCGCTTAAAATGTGGATTATTTGCTAGGAGAAAAACAAAACCCATTTTCCCTTCTGTTGAAAGATCCATTAGTTTGAATTGTGTAATTGTTCAAGTAAGGAATCGTCAGAGTGCCATGAGCTAAAGACTGGGAGATACCTAAGTCTATTCCGTCTGAATTGAGCTAGTAAATTAAATGAGACAATTTCAGGAAATGGCCTTTAGCACTGCTACTGTTACACAGGAAAAAATCAGATCAATTTGGTAGTAGTATTTCCGGGATATTATTATTTCCCTTAAATAGAAATTTATCAATTCTCTTACTGAATTTGACCAATAGGTCTGAAATGGAATCTGTGTTTTGAGCATTTGACTAATGTTAATTGGCAGATTGTGTAACATATGTGAATAAATGGTATGAAAAAGTGTGAAGCTGGCAGTGAACAGGTATCACTGAGAAAAGAAACCTGGTGTCAAGCTCACCCCAGTATGGTCTAAGACCCAAGCTGTATGATACCTGAATAGTGATGGTGGGAAGAAAGGAAGTGATTGGAAGCAAAGAGGTTCTTTTGATTCATCCCAGAAATCAGAGCAATTGAGTTCATCAGCTTCAATTCGGTAAGATTAAAAAAAAAAAAAAGAATAGGGTCACTAAGGCATGAGGAACAATTTTAGACAAAGTTTAGTTTTTTAAGACAAAAGGAGAAAAAACATAAACAAATGGGATGGAGGTCAGTTTTGTATATGGAAAGAAAACATACTGAGAAATGGATGGTAGTTGCATTTTTGCTCATATAGTGGAAAAGATGGTGTGAAAAGAGGGAAGATAAAATATATGTATATGGGAGTGGATTTGGGAAAGATACTGAGGAAAGAGAGAGAGAATTAAGAAAACTGGGAACACCTCTACCAAATTGTTGTGGCAGTAGCATTTTGAATGCTCTGAATGGAAATGGATTGCGTTGCAGAAGTGAAAAGAAAGATGTTGCAAGAAATATTCAAATCATGTTTTTATGATTGTAGCAATGGTGCCAGAGAGGGAAAGATATATTTGAGACAATATTATAGGGAAAAAGTATTTGTAGCACAAAAATCTGTAATTAAGGTTTATCTGGATACTTCAGGTGTTGTTACTTATGATAAAAGCTGATGTATGCAGCTAGATCAATCTAAAATGTATTCAATTACAATTGTTTTCAGGAGCTGGAGTTGTTCTTTCCCTCCAGTGGAGGTCACGGACCAGTCAACAGTGCAAAATTCACAAACAGTACTTGTTGCATTATTAAGCCTCATGCAGTTAATGAAGGTAAGCAACGCAGATAGTGGCAGTGAAAGCAATGTGTGCTTCATTGTGTCCATGATCATTCCTGTGCCCTTTTTTGGGAGAATGAGACTGCAAGAGCACGGGGTATATTTCATAGTACATGTCAAAGTATGCAGATACGTTGTCTTTCATACACCTTCAGTATTTCTGCAGTTCAGTTCCATGAAGAGTGGGTCGCGTGCTTTCCATGTGGATACTTGTTAATTTCAGAATACGAAGGGAGAGGTGAAAAAAAGAAGGATAAAAATATACATGAGATTTGGTGAATCTTACTGTGACAGCTTACCATGTCCTTGCTCCCGTCTGCCCACCACACTCATCTGCTGGAGGTTAGCATCCTCATAGCAGAGTGAAAGCAGGACACCTGGCCGTATTGCAGGGCCTTCCACTCACCCAGTAACACATTACATTAAAACTAGTCACAAAGGGAGATTTGTGCTGATATGAATCTTGTTCTGCTGAATGCAGTGGGGATGGAAAGTAGAAAAGGCTTGTTTACTCTATGAAAGTGAGCCAAAGACCTAAAGCATTTTTTGGACTCCATGATGCTTTCTGTACTGGAGAATGCCCTGTGAGCTCACCATATGAGTATTGGAAATGTTTAATGCCCAACTGTTACCATGCAAAAATAATCTCACTTTTGTGTCCTGTACTTAGATACAGGAGCATGTGTAGGAGCAGTGAGTGCAGTAAAATATTTTGGCTCTGGCACTGCAACAGTATTTTTGGGTGTAGAATAAATATTGTCATGTGAGAGCGTTGAGATTTTTCTTAGTAAGATGCAGAGCACACTGCAACATTTTAATCACTTCTCTGTGGATAGCTGAAATGGAAACAGCAGAAGTGGCCGTAGCAGTTTCCAGGCCTTTCACACCTCAAGTGGGATGTCTGGAGAGCTTGCTGAAAAGAAAATGGCTTTCACAAGAAAGAGTCTCACACTCACTGCTGATAACCTGCCTGTTATCTCTTTGAAGCCTTGCATGGTATCTGCTACTGATAAGTCTGCCATGCAGCAAAGACAGAGTGATGTTCCTTTTACAGAAACATGGGCAGCAGCTGGGACTATGATCTTGCCTAGCTAAATGTTTGCAGAGGGGACACTTTTCCATGGCAGGATTGTTAGGGTCCTTAACTTGATTGTGAAAATAGCAAAGGGGATAGCTTGAGCTGTGCTTTCTTATACTTAAGATATAATTTCTATTACATATGGGGGCTCAGACTCTCTCTTAGTGAGCTCAGGTTGTTCCTTCCTACTTTTAATCCTCTTCATTTCTGTAGATTTCATAGTGCCCTGTCTGTTACTTACTTTCTTTTTTCTTGAACTTCTCAGAATCACCAAGACAAATTCTATCCCTCTTTGCACTCCCCTCTGGGATTGTGAGTGTCTGGAGGAGGTGGGGGTGGTGAGAGAGAGAGAAAGAGGTACGGGTACAAATAAACAGAAAATGTAAGTGCACACCCAGCTTTGCAATGTGAGCCCAAGAAAGACTGGACTAAAGTTGAGCTTAATATCCACTATATAGTCCTTTTTCTCACACCACAGAGGGCTGGAAAGGCAGACTGCAGCTGCCAAACAGCAACTAAAATTTGAAAGACAAAGTTTTCCTTGTGTGAGTGTTCTCCGTCCATACAGCTTTGATTACTACCCTCAACAGAATGAAGAAATCAAAACTGAATTTTCTTTTCTAAGTCAGCAAAGTGTTTTGTCAATTTTAAATTAATATCAAGAATCATGGAATTCAGGGACTGGCTATGCTTTTACCTTACTAAGCTCTGCTTGTTTTCTCCAATGTTACTTTGAATGTTTCAAAAGCCACAAGTGCTGCATCTCTTAAAGAGATTACGAGACTAAGGAGGTCTTGTAAAACTTTCCAGAAGTCTGCCTTCTGACCAGGGAGTTGGGCTTAGGGAAGGCAAGAGTCACTGTGGCGCGGTGGTGGCCTCCCTCTTTGGCTGAGAGCACTGGTGTGGCTTCATATTGCAACTGGACTCGTTCCAGTCTGCAGTTTGAGGTGAGATGAATCCTTCTTCACAAGGGCTGCAGGAACTCTCCAACATTAGCCCAATGAGCCAGGAGTGTTGCAGGGGAGAGGATTTGGCTTTCTTAACCTGTCCTCTTCTGTCTTCCTTAGTCTTTCTTCTATTCTTTTTCAGCCTATTTTTGTGAGTAACAACAAAAATATCACTGACTGGCATCTCTTTTAGGTACACTTGGTCTTCTTATAAGGCGCTTTGCTTCATTACGGTTGGAAGAACCATGCGCAACAGAGTAGAGAGCTGTGCGTTAGCTTTGCAACAGTTTTTTGGAAGTCTTAATTCTGAAATTACTCTCTTATGATTAAACTGCCTGTTTTAAAGTTGAAGGATTGCCTCCTATAGATTTTGAAGCTTTTAAAGTTTTGAGCATGCAGTGTGGTGGTGGCAGGCTGTCTCTACGAAAATGCCACCATTCCTCCTTCCCTGTGCGGACTGTTTTGGAGTCAAGGAATAGCATGCTCAGGAGAGCTCCCAGCTGCCTGTCTGAAACAGGCAGACAAGAAGGGAGAAGCCTGGCTTTAGGGGTTAGAGAGCAGAGACATGGCAGTGGAGCAGGTTGGCCCCATGGATTGTGCATCTGTACTCAGAACGTTTGAGAAAGGAAGGGCTGACCTATTTGGGCTCAGTGATGCGCAACGGAGCAGGGAAGCCCTGCTCATCTCATCTCTCTTTTAAAGGCTGTTAGCAACTGTATTCAGTGATACCTGAGACATTCTGGTTATACCAGCAAGATCTCCTGTATCTCAGTTGAAGTAGGTGCTGTAGCAACTAGTGAGCTGCCCTTTTGGCAAAATTGCATGTAGGAGACTGTGTGGTCTTAAAAATAAGCAACTTGCTTACCCCCAGCAACAGCGCTTCTAGCTGTGGCTGTGCACCCTGCTGTTTCTGGTGGGGGGAATGTAAGTGGAAACACAGCAGCTGGAGAGGAGAGGAAATCCTGTGTGGCCATCGGTGTGAAAAGGTAGTTTGGCAGAGGCATGGAGAGGGATTTATGTGGGTCAAAGCAGAAGAGCCTCTTAGGCATTGCAGATTTGATTTGTGCTCCACAAATTTTCAGTATCAAGTATCTAAAAATAAACCTTTTTGCCATTTCCTGTGCGCTGCTGAGGCTTTGAACTTCATTATCTAATTACCATGAATATAATCTGCTCATTACACAGTTACAATTACGTGAAGTTTCACTTACATATTTGAGCTTATACGGAGCTTTAGTCTTTATTTCTGCAGAAACATTTGACTGATTCATGATTTGAATTTTGCTTTCTGGTCCTTTTTCTCAGTGTTTCTTTTTCCTCCAGAGTCCGTTCCATAACTGGTTCTTAGAAGGAAAAATTGTCTATTTTTCCATCCTGGAAGATGGTTTGCTTTAACCACAGCTATAAGCTAGGAGGCTTTTCAGCGAGCTTACCTTGCTGTCAAAAGGTTGGATCTAATCCCTAGTTTACGCTGGTTAATTCTTGGACACAGTCCTTTCTTAGAAACTGACTTTGGTTACCGTAGAGGGTTTATAGGGTTCCTATCCAGTGAGAAAGCAGTGGAAAATCACTGTTGGTTTTATCTCTGGCCTTGCTGACCCTCTTCTGATGGGCATACAGAAACATCTGTTGCTAGGCAGCGGCAGCAGCGCAGCCCGAGCACCTGCAGCAGGACCTGGCGCAGCACTCACGCACATGATAAGTCCTGTAAGTGAGAGTACCAAAAGTGTCTTCCACGCTGCGGAGGGACCCTGGGGCCTGATAAAGGCTGTCAGGGGAGTTATGCGAAGTTTAACTTCAGCTGTCAAGGGTGCTGGTTATGCTGGAGGGGTGGTGTCACTGGCCCTCTAGGAACTTGTATCATATGCACCTCTTAAAGAAGTAGGGCAATAGCTATTTTGTCAGTCTGGTGTCAGCATAATGTCTTCTGTGGAGGATCAGAGATGTGAAAACAGCTGGGAAGGCCATTGAAGACTATGTAGCCCAGCACTCGGGACTAGATAGCTTTAGCTCATTCTTTAGCGGCTCCTGCCGGTGGAAATGAAGCACTTCCCCAGCTGGCTGGAAAGTTGGCAGTGGCAAGGTGGTTGTATTTTAACTCTGAAGAGGGTTTGTAAGAGCAGTGCAATTCCTTTTTATTGGGCGCTGGAAGAATGCACAAGCAACCTGATGCTAGTCCATGCAGACTTGTTCTGACCAGGGGAGACATGATGTTGTTTGACCCCTCTAGAATCTGCCACGCTTTTCAGTGTCTTTTAGCCTCCTCCTTCTCTTCTCCTGAGACCAGTTTTCAGTCGAGGAGGATGGTAACTAGCAAGAACAAGCTCCTCAGTGTGTTGATTAGGATTGTAGGGCTTAATTGTTTAATAATTGGAGAGTTTTAGTGTGGATCTGTGTTCTGTAACCCACTTGCGTCTTGTGCTTGGAGCTTCTGATAATTCAGATACAAGGTCACAGTTGCAATCATTTAGACATTCTCTTTTTGTAATTCCCCTCATGTTATTAGATCTGGAGGTATTAGCAGTAGTGCTCAGAAGCCAAAACTGTAAATGCACCAAAATGGATGAACTCCAGTTTAATGCCCTGAGGATAGTTATGACTCGACTGTTTTTTAGGCAGAAATAGCACCTTGTAGATCACTGGGTGGGATTAACTTTAATGTATTTATGTGTGACAGTTTAGTCATGTTTGCTGTAGGAATTAGAATTTGGTATTTCATGACTGGTTTAAAGTTTCTTTGATGTGGCTTTTACTTAATTCCTTTAAAAAACGAGCAGAGAAAAAGTGGTGAAAGTAGTGATGATCAGACTATAAAGACTGAGGTCAGAAGTTTGTTATATTTCACATTTTGTACTTAGGTTACAGCACAGAGCTTGAGAGATAAAATCCTGCCCTCCTTTTCTACACTCCCAAGCTGAGACGTGGGTTCTCTTAAAGTTAGGATTTTGTCAAAAACAAATTTGGGGCTGG